TAATATATAAATATATATATATATTTATTTTTTATAGGCATGGGGAGATAGAAATAAATGGGCTCGAAATTATATATATCCAGAAATTAAATTCAGCTTTTGATTACAAAATATAATTTGAAATTAATTATTTTTTTTTCAAAATTTATTTTTTTTATTTGGAAATTTCCTTTTCCTGATATATGAAAATATGTTTTTTTTCGATTTCATTTTTAATTTTTTTATTCAAAATAATCGAAGTATTTTTTAGAAAAATCAAAATACATATATGTAAAAAAATAGAAAAATAATTATTTAAATGAATTTTTGAATATTTTTGTAATAATGGGATTTTAAAAAAATATATTGTTTTTTTTTCCGAGGGCGTCGTAGGAATTTTCCAAAACTTGCTGGGTCTATATTTCATCTTTTCATTTTCATCTTCATATCTTCAGACCTTCTCATCTTCTTACCTTCTCATCTTCATACCTTTTCTCTCTCCCCTTGTTTGTCTTTCTCTCTTTAGGCCGAGGGTCGTGCTGGCGAGGAGTCACGAAACGTGAATCCTTTCGCACGAGATGAGGATCTATCGTCAAAAACTGAGGTAATTGCGCTTTTACTTTTGCTGGAACAACCCTTTCGCACGAAACGATGGTCAATCGTCAAAAAATCTAGGTAAAATTGCAATTTTACTTCTGCTGGAGCAACCCTCTCGCACGAAATGATGGATCGTCAAAACTGTGGAATTGCAATTTTACCTTGAGGCAAACCATGGGCTTGTAGAAGCTCGGGATTCCGACAAGATGAACGCCTGCATCTCCAGAGTGGCACCCAAACACAAAGCCACCCAACACACTAGAGTAACGGGCAGACTTCCAGACTAATGGAAACCACAGGCTGAGACGGAAGGTCTGTGAAGCAAGGCAAGGGGGTGGAATTAAAGATGAAGCGTTGAATGAGATTGAAGGTCTGTGAATTGAGGCAAGGGGGGTGGAAGTTAAAGATGAAGTCAAAATTAGGACTGAAGGTCTGTGAAATGAGGCCGTGGGGGGGGTAGAACTTAAAGATGAACTCTGAATTGAGCCTAAAGGTCTCTGAAGTAAAGCAGAGGGGGTGTGGTGAAGGCCGGTGATGCTGGAATACGCTTCTCGCACCACAGAGTCGAATTGTTGCAGCGCTCTAAGCTGACAATGGCGCGCATATAGGCACACGCCACCTTCGGCCATACCTGGCACACGTGCAAAGCAGCCGAACTCCAACTTCGGCATTCCCAAGGGCAAACAGAGCTTGAAGAAGCAGGCGAAAAGCGTCAATGCGGCTGTTTTGGTGGTGCACAAGACCATCATCTCCAAGAGGAGCGCCGAGGAATTCAAAAGTCTCCGAAGGCGACGGCTGCCAGTGGCATGTCAAGTGGTCGGGCTGGACGCCGCCAACCCCGGCCACAACGCACTTGGAAGGTTTACCGCAAGGCCAAGCTCTGAGCCCGGTGTGGATATGAACAATGGATTTCACAATGGAGGCAAACAATTTCGCACGAAACTGAGTGGTTTTTTTTGGGGCTTTTCAATTGTTTTAACAACTTGCAGTTCGTTTTCTGGATCAAATTGCCTGCCTTGACAGGGATGAAGGGGGTACTGTTTTATCTGCCACTGAATGTATTTTAATCTGTTTTGCATATAATTGGCATTCGCCATCTCCTCCGATATGACCTGTTACATTGACAATTTCTAACCCTGAATGCGGTCAAAATAGCCACGCGATTTCTTTTGTAATTAGCTGGGTTGCATAAAAACTGCTTTCACGGAATGGGCTTGTTGCATTGAAGATTTTGATTCCGTGGAAAACTTATTTGCACAAAAAAAAAGACCAGCGCAGGTTCACAATGAATTTTATATAGCCAATCTGAAATATACCAAAATAAAATAAAAAAATAGTTGGACTTTTTCGTATATGTTCTGAGTATGGAAGAAATATTCGGCATGAGTAAATAATGTATAGAAATATATTATTTCAATTAAAAATAAAAAATGAAACCGGGTAAATAATATTTCGATGAAAAAAAATTAAATTGTGGTAATAAAATTTTAAAGCAAAAAAAAAGAAATCCTGTTTTATAGGAACATATTTGTTTCAAAAATAATTCCGAATATATATATAATTATATAACAAAATAATAAATCTATAGAAAATTATTCCAAAATTTCTGGTAATATTTTTTTTTGGTAAAATAAAATTCCAATATTCATTACAATTGACGGCCCCCCTCAATAACCAAATCAAATAAATGAAACTGATTGTCAAAATACACCAAAAAAAACACAAATTTCAGAAAAAACATCTTATTTTTTTAAAAAATATAAAATGAAAAAATAATTATTTGTTTCTAATTCTCAAAACTTGATAATTTTTAATTTTTCTGTAAAAAATAGAAAATAACAATATAATTTCAAAAAAAAATTGATAAATGATTTTTATCGTTCGCATGGAAAACAATAATAAAAATTGGTATAACCCTGGCCTGCCAGAAAAATTAAAATTCATTTTCATTCTTTATAGACTTTTGGACGGTGATTTTTTAAATTAGTATCGAAAATGGGAATAATTGTTTATGAAGGATTTTGATACCAGGGATAAATAATAATTATTTATAAATATTTTTCCATAAGGATAGGAAAATAGGGATCAATGGGCTCGAAATAATATCTGCCGAGAAATGAAAATCACAAGAAAATGATTTGAAACGGGTCTTTTTTTCCAAATTTATTTTTCCGTTTGAAAATTTCCTTTGCCTGATATTTTTTTTTCGACTTCATTTTTATTTTTATATTCAAAATAATCGAATTACTTTTTTAAAAAATCAAAATAAATATATATATATAAATATAATTATTTACATAAATTTTTGAATATTTGCAAAAGAAAGATTTTTATATTTTTTCTCGAGAGCCTCGCAGGGTTCTTCCCAATAGTAGGGGTCTCTATTTCATCTTCTCATCTTCACCATTTCATCTTCACACCTTCTCTCACACCATCTCATCTTCACACCTTCTCGTCTTCACAGCTTCTTTCCCACCTTCTCATATTCACATCTGCTCATCTTCACATTTTCTCATATTCACATCTTCTCATCTTCACACCTTCTCATCTTCACATTGGCTCCCCTTCACATCTGTTGCTCTTCACATCTTTTCATCCTCACACCTTCTCACCATCACACCTGCGCTCACACCCTCTCATCTTCTGATCTTCTCTCTCTCTCTGTCTCGCCTTCTTTATCTTCTCTCTTTAGGCCGAGTGTGGTGCCGGCGAGGAGTCACGAAACA